ATTCTGAAGCTGATTCATTTGTGGGTATTAATGTTAATGGACAACTGAGTATTGTTAAAATAGTTAACATATGTTAACACACATACCAGTACAGAAGTAGTTATAGGAAGAAAATTTGAAGTGTTAGAGAATATGTTTGAAAAACCTGACAAACTTGTAGAGAGTTGTAAATTAGGAATTTATATAATAAGTAATTTTTCTAAAGTGTTATGTGTGTGGGACATTAATGAAATCGTTACAAAATATGTTGTATCAACAACTGACCAAAGTGTTACTGTAGCCATACCAATTATTCATTTTGAAAATTAATTTTGTTCATTTGTTGTACATATTATGTATATTTATAAGTTTATAACTCTATGATAAGCATTAGCAATTTTAGAATATTTAGTTCTGTAGTGTAATAGCTATATTAATTTAGTAGAACTATTAATTAAAAATTATAATTTTTAATAAATAAATTCATCTTATATAAATGTTTAATAATATATGTTTAAATAAAGTTTTATTAGATCAATTAAAAACTATTGTACACTTTGTGCAAGACAATAGTGTTGAAGTAGTACCCACAAACTGGGTTAATGGAGATAATTGTGCTTGGCCTAAAAATAATTATGGAGCTTCAAAATTAAGGGATTCATGAGTAAGGCCCAATGATTTTGAATTTGATTATTATAGAGTGAGAGTCATTTCCACAAATATAAGTATGTTATTTATATTGATATACCAACCTATAATAAATGATTATTATATAATTTAATTGTATATTTGCATTAAAACTGTTATGATCAGATTCATTATTAGAAGCCAGAGAGAAATGTGAACGAGCACAGTTTACATCTGATATTTCAGATTATGATCACTTATTGTTAGAAAACGTAAGCAAATATCTGAACCAAAAAATAAAGTCAAAAGTACAGAGAGGAACCATTAGGAGTATCTTCATGTCACAAAAGCTTATTTGATGATATACCAAATGGAGACAAAACATATAATGGTAACTATAATTCTGATAACGATTTTATTAATTCAAAACCTATAAGCCAGAAAGAAAAATCAGCATCTACATATATTTCTACATCAGCTTCAGCATCTACTTTACATCTCACCAAAACTTTGAAACAAATGATACAGGAAATGTAGACTTAATATTATTATATAAAATTAGTGAAGGTACAAATACCCCTGATGGCAATTTCACTACAGAATATAAGAATAATCAGAAGGAATCATTATTGTATAATAATAATAATGTTTTTGATAATTATTTAATTGAAGAAAATGATGAACTTAATCCAGAAAATATTTTGGACCCGGTTATATCTCAAGAAGGTATATATATATATATATATATATATATGTATATAAGTATACAAACTGATTTTAGTATGTTGAATAAATTAAATAAATATTGTTAATTTTTTAGTTTCGACTGTTTCAAGTATTATTTTGCCACAAACTACATCACCTAATTCTTCATGTGGCCAGTTTAATAACATGTTTGCTCTTGATGTCCATAAAAATAATGGTAAAAAATTTAGTATAACTATTCTTATAATTAAATAATTAATCTATTACAATATTTTTTAGTTATAAACATTAATAACACAACAACCCCACCAGATGTAAACAAAACTAACCCAAAGATGATTGATAGTACATCTTCTAGTTCACAAAATAATAGTAAGCATTATATTATTGTTCTCATACATGTATAATGTATATAGGTACATAATTATAATTAATATGAATAATTATGTGAAATAAATATAAGTGTCATACTTATACTAAGATTTGAATACATGAAAACAAACTAATACATAGGAATACAACTTTTTTTTAGCCTTTCAGAAATCTGTTCTTAGTTATTTGGCATATTTAAAGATTGTATTAAATAAAATGTCTGATACCCAACAAGAAATACTGCAAATTTTGTCCAATTTACCTAATAACCATTTTAATGATAAGACTATTTTTGATGATGAAGAAATCGATTATTTTTTATTTCTGCATGGTCACTCCAATGATTGATAGTCTGGAGGATATGGAAAGTAAAATGAGATTGGACTCAAACTTCAGAAACAAAGTGGTAAAATTCATATTTATTTTTATGTTGTGTTTTTCGGTATTATTTATGTGTTAAGTTAATTTAATAATCATTTACTGAACAATTTTTATGAAAATTAATATGAAACAATTTTACATTGATTATAAAATGAATCACTATTTAAAAAAATTATATTTCAATGTATCTACTACTATCTGAATATTCCATTTTTATTATGTATAGCTAGCTACTAAATTAAAAATGTTTAAGGTTTTTTTTAATGAAATGTCATATTAGTAGTATATGGGTACGTCCAGTACACTTTTGACTTTATCAAATTGTTTCACATTTTTCCTGTTAAAACATAACAAAAAATCTAAACTTATCTGTTAAACTTGAATAAGGGGGTACGTTCAGTACACTTTTTTTTTATCAAATTGTTTCACATTTTCCTGTTAAAACATTACAAAAAAATCTAAACTTATCTGTTAATTATAAAATTAATTTATTTTTCCTGTTAAACATTACAAAAAATCTAAACTTATCTGTTTAAATTAGAAAAAGCATTTTTTGAGTTTTTAAATGATTTTATAGAATTTTTTAAAAATAGTGAAATGCTATAGTATACATACAATCACACTGTAGATTGTATACTACATACTATATTATTATTATTTGACCTCGCTCCTGTGAAGAGCGCGCTGCGGCATTTATTACTATTAGAACAGTTAAAAACCCAAAAAATTCAGAGAGATTCGAAGAACCCGCTACTGGCAGGAAGCATGCTGTCGCATTAACCATTAGACCACGGGTATTTGTTGGTAATAAAAAGGAAAAAGGTATATTTAAAACACATATATTATATTATATTAAATTATAATATTACTAGAAAATAGAAATTAGTTAATATTATGTTTTAATAAAACAACTTTTTAAAGAATTAGATTTTTTACATTTTGCAGACAATCTTTTTAAATTATTTTTAGTAATAATTATATGTGGATTAATATTATCTGTTTTTTGTTTACATTTAACACAATATTTATTACCCATTTATAAGAAATTAAATTAATATAATGTTTAATTATACTGTATACTTGTAGCCGTTAARTTGTGTCTGCTTTAAGTATTTTTCTCTAGGGAAAAAGTTAATAGTTTCTTTAAAATTTGCTTCTTCTAAACATATACTATCATCGATTATTTTTTTAGACTTATACATAAATGTCAAT